TCTTTCCTGTTGAAGGAGACAAGTCTGCTGATTACCTCTTCCGAGTAGGATGAAGAAGTTTCTTTCTCGTAGCCAATAGTAAGATTGCTTGCGCTGCTGAATGGAGTGATTTCATTCCCTTTCTTCATAACCAATATAGGACAATCTTCAACCAACGTAACGTGATCCACCTCTGCAAGTTCTTGCTCTTGCTCTTGCGTATCCGATAATTCTACTTGCATTGCTTCGTCATTCTCTTCGTTTGTAGAGGACATTAAATACAATGTGAGCTTACTTGAATAGAGTCCTCTGCACTTTAGATATTCATCAAAACTACAGGGGTTTCCAGCTGTGTCTAGAAATGTCGACAACGGCTCTTGTGCATAGTTTCCTAGTTTTATGTCCATTTCCGCCAAAGACCCATATTTACATTTTCCTTCTGGAAAGAAATACTTGATCGCTGTATCCTTTATATGTTGGAGAGTCAGTTCTTCATCTTCCCTGTATGTAATTTCTCGTACAGCGCCACCATCCTTCAGCTGCTTGACTTGTTTGTACTTTTCTCCACCACTTGAGCGATGCAGCCATCCCACGTACATTTTTCTTGTTTTGACGGATCTTTTCGCCACAGCGCCTACAGATTTTTTTGCCACAGATTTCTTTTCATTTACCCGTATTTTGTTTACGATACTCTTTTTTTTTTGTGCTGCAGAAAAATAAAAATAAAATTGTTCATTACGTTTACATTTTTTTTTTGACTTATCTTGTTTTCCATTTTCATTTGTTTTTGTTTTCAGACATTTTTTTATGCAGATGTCATGTTTTCTTTTTTTTTACAAAAATTCGATAGTAATTTTTTTTGTGCCTTGTCACATGACGTCCTGCATTTACAGTACCAGGGGCGGATTTTTTTGGGGTGAACTGGGTGAACGTTCACCCCCCTTTTTCCTGGATAAATTGAATATAGAAATATTCATATCAAGGAAATAGGGAAATAATTGGTTGATATTTCGATAAACAACACTTTTCAAAAGGACTAACACTTTTTAGCGTCTCGGGCATCTAAGAACACACATGCATTTGTGGTGCTTTGGTACATTTGGTGGGAAAATTAAATATTTTTTTTCTTAAAGAATCAAAAGTCACCCCCCTAAAAAAAATCCTGMATCAGTTTTTTTGTACATTGGCACAGGTAGCCTACCATTCATTGTGAAACCTGTAATCTTTTTTTTGCAAGTCTCTAAATGAATAGTTGACATGCCTGAGTAATACACCGACGTTTTAAATCTTTACATCTCGATTTAAGCATGCATTCACACTACAGTAAAACTTTTTTTATAAGAAAAAAATCAGGCTGACAATTTCACATCAAGCACCCTAAACTTTTTTTCAAAGCAATTGTAAAAACCTAAAATGTCTAATGAGAAGCTATTTTTTTTTTTTTTTATTGATGATTATTATAAAAGCCAACAGTTCCCTTATATTGTATTTTTTTTAAACAAAATTATGGGTACTGGATTTTAAATATCATTTTTAGCATGTTTTTTTTTTAGCATATGCATAAAAACACATACAAGTGGACACAGTGAGCTGTTTTTTTTTTTTCAAAGTACTCAAAAAACCCTGTCTTATTGTCTTAGCATTTTTATTTTTTTCTTTTTCAGGCCTTAACACATTTGGTGTTCATCACCTAAATCCAACTTTTTTTATTACCTACAGTTAATTAGAATATTGTACATTTCAACAACAATTGCTTTTTTTYTTACCTKTCTGTTCTCCATTTTCTTTAGTTATTGCTGATTTTATCTTTTTTTCCTCTCCAATTGCAACACCCATCCTTGCATATTGGTCGTCAGTAATATTTTGAAGTGCATGAATACTGAAGACCTGCAAAAGTAACATTTGGATTTCATTTTTTTTGATTATAACTYCAACAACCAGAGAGTGTAAAATATTAAATGACACATTTTTTTCCAAAGGAATAATAGGCTTTCAATTGTTTAGCAATTACTTAAAGGATTGGTCATGTAAATCATTGATTTATGATAGAAATTATTTATTTATTAAAATAATTTTTTTAACCATAGAAGTATATATATTATATGGCATAAAATTAAAAAAGAAATTTTTTTAAATCCAGATTTCCAAATGAAACTCCAATTCCTTTAGAAATCTAGTTAGTATTGAGCAGCCCTCCCCTACTAAGGGTTAAAATTTCACCTACATACTACTTTTTTTTATTTCATATTAGAATGATTAAAATTTGCTGAATATTAGATTATATTTTTTTTTCATTTGATAAAATTTCCATGAGTCTTATCCAAAGTCTTTAATTATTTTTTTTTTTAAATCATAAGGTCACTTTATTCTATTTGTTGATTATAGTTGTTTTTTTTTACTTTAACAGCCAAAGAATGCAGGCACAATAAAAGCATATGATATGTTTTTTTACAGGTTTTTAAAATGTGGGTTAACAACTAAATTACAGATAAATAATTTTTTTGTTACTAAGACAGTTAATTAGAACCCATTCTCACATTTGCTGTAATTTTTTTTTGTGAAAAAAAGACTTTAGCACAAATATAGTGTTCAGTTGTCTAATGTAAACTCACATGAACCATAAAAAGCGTGACTCAGGGACGGATGGAAGATGCCTTTTTTTATGTTTTCTAAGTAATTCCTTTAATTCTGCAGAAAAATTGTTTTCCTTTTTTTATCGAACTAGCTGTAGAAAAKAATTAGTAATCTTATAAGTCAGAATTTTTTTTGCGTTGCTCTTGCTAAAGAGAAACCTGTCACACAACTCAGAACTGATTTTTTTAAGCTTAAATATTGAAAAACTTTGGCTAATTCGGATCTAACGGCTTTTTTTTTTATCCATATTGAAAAAAYACCAGTCACGTGCTGTGGAATTAGGAATTTTTTTTGAAATCAGAAGTCCGAAATCGGAAGTCGGAAATCAGAAGTCGGAAATTTTTTTTCAGAAGTCGGAAATCA